GGAATTTATGCAGACAGCAGACCCATGGAATCTATAACAGCATGACACAGCAGACCCATGGAATTTATGACAGCATGACACAGCAGACCCATGGAATCTATGACAGCTGGACACAGCAGACCCATGGAATCTATGACAGCCAGACACAGCAGACCAATGGAATCTATAACAGCATGACACAGCAGACCCATGGAATCTATGACAGCTGGACACAGCAGACCCATGGAATCTGTGACAGCTGGATGCAGCACACCCATGGAATCAATGACAGCTGGACACAGCAGACCAATGGAATCCTTAGCAGCTAGACACAGAAGACCTTATTCTGTATCTAACCAATCAGGGTACCCAAGTTCTCCTTCTTTCCTCCTGACTAACATATGCTGTCATTTATTTGTTCTTAACGTTTATTTGGTGATCACCAGTCTGTTCACTCTCAGTGCCTGGACAGTCAGATGCCTGCCCAGCCTGTTCACTCTCAGTGCCTGGACAGTCAGATGTCTGCTCAGCCTGTTCACTCTCGCTACCTGGACAGTCAGATGTCTTTCCCAGCCTGTTCACTCTCAGTGCCTGGACAGTCAGATGTCTTTCCTAGCCTGTTCATTCTCAGTGCCTGAACAGTCAGATGTCTGCCCATCCTGTTCACTCTCCGTGCCTGGCCAGTCAGATGTCTTTCCCAGCCTGTTCACTCTCAGTGCCTGGACAGTCAGATGTCTTTCCCAGCCTGTTCACTCTCAGTGCCTGAACAGTCAGATGTCTGCCCAGCCTGTTCACTCTCCGTGCCTGAACAGTCAGATGTCTGCCCAGCCTGTTCACACTTAGTGCCTGAACAGTCAGATGTCTGCCCAGCCTGTTCACTCTCGGTGCCTGGACAGTCAGATGTCTGCCCAGCCTGTTCACTCTCAGTGCTTGAACAGTCAAATGTCTGCCCAGCCTGTTCACTCTCAGTGCTTGAACAGTCAAATGTCTGCCCAGCCTGTTCACTCTCAGTGCTTGAACAGTCAGATGACACAGAAGACCTTATTCTGTATCTAACCAATCAGGGTACCCAAGTTCTCCTTCTTTCCTCCTGACTAACATATGCTGTCATTTATTTGTTCTTAACGTTTATTTGGTGATCACCAGTCTGTTCACTCTCAGTGCCTGGACAGTCAGATGCCTGCCCAGCCTGTTCACTCTCAGTGCCTGGACAGTCAGATGCCTTCCCAGCCTGTTCACTCTCATTACCTTGACAGTCAGATGTCTTTCCCAGCCTGGCTCATGTGTCTCATTAGGCTAATGTTCTTATGCTTTGTACAGCCGAATATCAGTGTTCTCGAATAACGTCTGACCATCTGACAAAGCAGTCAGATTCGCCAACAGTCAATTGAAGTCTACAACCCGCCGTCTGACTGTATATTTCACAATGACTTTGTCTGAAGTTGTTGTATGTGACATGTGACACTTGTTTGCTGTTTATAAATCTTATGTCTGTTAATAATTTCAATGCCAATTATAAGAAATGTTAAATCTGAAATGTGTGTTTAATTTTATTCTGTGGGTCCTGTGAATTTTCAATGGGTCAGACAGACATCTGAAACTTACAGGACCCTATGTCCTGTTACTATGAAACACCATTTGTGAACACTGGAATATACTGCAATATTCCTTCAAATCTTTATTTATGATACTATGAGGCCACGGGCCTATGAGTACAAAAACACCTCATCGGTGCAGACATGAAATAAAATGATAACAATGAAAGCATGTATAATATATACAATCTTAATATGACAAAATTGATTTCCTTTTTTCAAATGCATAAAACAGATATTTAGCAGTATTCAAGGATATGTCTGCATTTTTGGATGATAACAACGAATTGAATTTTAGTATATTGGGGAAAACATAGACTTGCGACAAAAGATATTTATGTCTTAATTCAATGTAGGCTGGACAGATAAGTAAGAAGTGATATTCATTTTCAATTACGTTTAAGTTACACATTTTGCATGTTCTTTGTTCCCGGGGAATGTTATAGTAACGACCTCTTTCAATTTCTAAACCATGGGAACTTAACCTAAATCGTGATAAACAAGATCTATATTTGGATACAGTAATATGTGTTAAGTATGTTTCACAAGAAATCGTTAATTTAAAATTACAATACGTAAACATTTTGGGGCTCTCAGATAAATCACTACGGCAAACTTGCCGAAAATTATCTTTCAGTCGTTGAAATTTTTTTTAACAAAAACGTTTTTATCTCCGTAAGTGTGTGATACCCAAACATCACCAAAACCTAATTTAAATATGATATTTCTAACTTTGGTAACCCAGTTCTCATAGCCTTGCTCATCATACATACGCATCATATTGTAACATTTTCGAGGCAAACGGCATCCAGGCATGTTAATAAGATTTAACCAATATTTAATACATTTTAAAACAGCAGATAGTTGGACAGGATATCTACCACACTCGGCTAATACTCCATTATTGGACGTTGATAACTTAACGTTTAGAAAACGTTTGCAGGCATATAAATGTACTTTTTCCAGTTCTTCCATATTATTAAGCCCCCAAATTTCAGCCCCATAGAGGAGAATTGGTGTTATCTTTGTATCGAATAATTTGAAGTACAGATGAGGCGAGTGTGGTTTCAAACAATGTATACTACTAAGAAGTAATGACAGCATTTTTCTGGCTTGAATAGAAATATTGTCAAACGCTTTCGACCACTGTAACCTATTACTAAAATACAATCCGAGATAACAATATCCTGAAACAACTTCAACAACACTGCCATTATAAAACCATTTTTCAAACCGAGATAAACCACGTCCTTTCTTAAAAACTACAATTTTAGTTTTATGCATGTTGACTGACAATTTCCATTCTGAACAGTACCTATTAAGAATATTTAGTTTAAACTGCAGACTTCTCACGCTGTTCCCAAACAAAATAAGGTCATCCGCAAATAAAAGAAGGAAAATATGGGTAACGTCTGGATGTAGCTGGACACCAAACTGACATTCACTTTCAATTACATTAACTAATTCATTTATATAAAACTGAAACAAAAAGGGGCTGAGCATACACCCTTGTCTGACTCCCATTGGGCAATCAAATACACGAGATAAACTACTATTTGAGCGAACACAAGACTTTACACTATTATAAATAGACTCTAACATTTTACCCATTTTACGACTCAGACCGTGTTTATATAATAACTTCCAAAGAAAATGTCTTTGAACAGAATCGAAAGCTTTCGAGAAATCAACAAAAGCTACATAGAATTTACCACCTTTGTGGGAAAGATAACGCTCGATAATAGAATTCAGAACAAAACAATTGTCAACCACGGAATAACACTCAGATATTTTACTCAACACATCAGCAATAGTCCAAAGACTCATTCTCCTTCTGCTAATAATCTTTGCATTTTGACATGTGCCTTTAACGGGCAAACCACTAACAATCTCCATTAGCTGTATTGGCTACTGTCAGTGTATATCATGCATGTGTGATTCAACAAGACTATGATTGTCAGGATATCCTACGACAACACTGGGAAGGAAATCTGTGGTGTTTTGGCAACATGTACACAATGTTTGAAACTTGTAAGTCACAATTGAAACTATTTTTAAAAATATTTGGTATTTTGTAAATAACCCCATCCCCCAACAGCTGGGTACCTGCTTCTACGTCAGTTTATATATGGTTAAATTGTTACTATGCCTCTTCATGCCTTTCACTTTTGCCCAACAGAAGCTCCTTGTAATATATTCAACCTTCAAGTTCTTACAGACCCGTGAAGATCCAGGGTAGAATAGGTCTTCAGCAACCCCATTCTTGTCATAAAAGGCGACTATGCTTGTCGTAAGAGGCGACTAACGGGATCGGGTGGTCAGGCTCGCTGACTTGGTTGACACATGTCATCGGTTCCCAATTGCGCAAATCGATGCACATGCTGTTGATCACTGGATTGTCTGGTCCAGACTCGATTATTTACAGGCGCCGCCATATAGCTGGAATATTGCTGAGTGAGGAGTAAAACTAAACTCACTTACTCACTCACTCAAGTTCTCACGTCCATTTATCTCTTTCTTTTAAGTTGACAATTAGTGAACATGATGGAGGTGAATTGTGCAAATAATATTTCCATTTAAAACTATGGCTCCTTTGTCTTTAACTAACAAAGCAATTAGTTACTGTTAGGGTCAAACATCACTTGGCAATGATGGATGTATCTTCACTTTTTCACTGTCATTTTCCTTGGGTCATGTTGATGACAAGACAAATTCTGGAAAACTATTCATCGCCAGCAAGGAGTTGGTTCAATATGAACTGTACACATTCCCCTGGACATAAATTTCATAACTCTACTTACCAAAGAGCAAAGTGCACATGCTAAAGGTTAAGGGAGCAGATTTCACTGGCATCATCAAGGTATAACTGACAGTTGATGCAGAGTTTTTAGATATCTTATAACATGTGGTTATCAAAACCATGTTGTTATTACAGTTTGGATGCTTGGGTTCTTCCAGTTTCAATAGGTTTGAACAATCAGACTGTGGTGTGAGATCATTGAAGTTGTTGATTAGAGCACTTGGCACTCGACACCACAGACTGTAGCTAACCAGCAATTACACACCTTGTCTTCAGGGAGGATTCATTCTAGGTAATCAAGTTAGTCAGCGACATCTGGGTAGTATTTATTGATCAGGACTTATCTATATTTATGTGGTTTTGTAATTTCCATCCTTCCAGCTGACAAATTAACAACTAGAATCAAGACAGCCCGTAATCAGTCATCAGGGGGTTGATGTTGGCATGTGTCAGGCTATGTCATTCGGAGCATGTTGCCGGTGGCTTGTGTACACAGTACTACTCATGCATCCAGCAGATTTTGGAATTATCTGAATGTTGGGTTATCTTTGTGACACTTCAAGTCATATAACATGATACAGGGCTGAGATGAACTTGTCAGGCTGATTTTGTTTTTGTTAAAATAGGCTGTGCCTGAGAAAAGATGTGAGACAAGCCAAGGACAACCCGACAACCCACACAGCATGGAGGACTTCCTCCGCACATCCAGGCATGCCTTGGTAAGTATTCCCACAACCAGTTCCTCAAACAGGCCTTGGTAGGTACTCCCACAACCAGTTCTTTGAACGGGGCTGTGGGGCAGCCTAATGGTTAAAGCATTGGCTCGTCACGCCGAAGACCCAGGTTCGAATCTCCACATGGGCACAATGTGTGAAGCCCATTTCTGGTGTCCCCCGCCATGATGTTGCTGGAATATTGCTAAAAGCGGCATACAACCAAACTCACTCAGTCAGTCAGTCAGTCAGTTCTTTGAACAGGCTGATTGTTTATGGGAAACTTTGTTGTTTCTCATTCCTTAAGCTGGTACTTGCACTCAGTGCAGAAAGTGTTTCAATACTGATGCTGCTGAAAGCTTGTGTGAAGTTCTCTCTCTTGAGTTGCTTTATGGCATATCCAGTTGAGCTACAATGCTGTCTTGAATGTTTCAGGCCAGGGTGTCTGAATATGGACAGGTCCATGTTGTGCTTGGTAACGAGGCCTGTGACTTGGACTCTGCTGTGAGTGCCCTGGTGTATTCCTTCTACCTCCACCAGGTAAGGACCATTTTGAATATGCATTAAGTGTGTCTGCACAAAAACATTTGCATCAGAAAAGATGTAAAATTGTAGACTTTATTCAACAATGTAGCATGTTACTGTTCCAGAGTGGCATCCCTGATAACCTGTATGTCCAGGCTGTGCAGACCACTTGTGACCAGCTGAATGTTCACTATGTTTCAGACTGATGCCTCTGGCAGCTTGTACATTCCGGTCCTTGACATCCCCCGGTGCCAGTATCACCTCCGCACAGAGATCACATACCTCCTTTCTAGACACAATATTCCGCCTGAAATCCTCACTTTCGCTGATGATGTGGATCTTGCTTCACTTGCTCCTTGCCTGAAACTCACATTGGTTGACCACCATGTGCTTCGGACACAGTTGTCTCCCCTACACCAGTGTGTTGTTCGGGTGATTGACCATCGACCAGTGGAGAAACAGTTGGACAACAGGTAGTATTCTCTCACACAACCAGTACATTGAAACTAGCTTCTTGTACCATCCACTCACTAAGGTGTCCTAAGGTTTGACTAATTACTTGTATGACAGATCAGCTGTCCAGATTTTAGTCATACCCTCCCAGTGGATTCCCCACATGGGTACAATGTGTGAAGCCCATTCCTGGTGCCCCCTGCCGTGATATTGCTGGAATATTGCTGAAAGTGGCATAAAACTAAACTCAGTCAGTCAGTCATATCCTCCCATGATAGTGTCATTACCCTGCCCACCTAAAACAAATGATTGAAATGACTGATCAGTAGTAAACAGACAGGACTAAGCCAATCACTGCAGCTTAATAGGACTACGCCAATCACTGCAGCTTAACATGTCTCAGCCAATCATTGTAGATGAATGGGACTAAGCCAATCACTGTAGATTAATGGGACTAAGCCAATCACTGTAGATTAATGGGACTAAGCCAATGACTGTAGATTAACAGGACTAAGCCAATCATAGTAGATTAACAGGACTAAGCCAATCACTGTAGATTAGCTGGACTAAGCCAATCACTGTAGATTAACAGGACTAAGCCAATCACTGTAGATTAACGGGACTAAGCCAATCACTGTAGATTAACAGGATTAAGCCAATCACTGTAGATTAACAGGACTAAGCCAATCAGTAGATTAACAGGACTAAGCCAATCACTGTAGATTAACGGGACTAAGCCAATCATTGTAGATTAACAGGACTAAGCCAATCACTGTAGATTAATCACTGTAGACTAAGCCAATCACTGTAGATTAACAGGACTAAGCCAATCACTGTAGATTAACAGGACTAAGCCAATCACTGTAGATTAACAGGACTGCCAATTAACTGAGGACTAAAGCCAATCACTGTAGAATTAACAGGACTAAGCCAATCATTGTAGATTAACAGGACTAAGCCAATCACTGTAGATTAACAGGACTAAGCCAATCACTGTAGATTAACAGGACTAAGCCAATCACTGTAGATTAACAGGACTAAGCCAATCACTGTAGATTAACAGGACTAAGCCAATCACTGTAGATTAATGGACTAAGCCAATCACTGTAGATTAACAGGACTAAGCCAATCACTGTAGATTAATCGGGACTAAGCCAATCACTGTAGATTAATGGGACTAAGCCAATCACTGTAGATTAACAGGACTAAGCCAATCATTGTAGATTAATGGGACTAAGCCAATCACTGTAGATTAATGGGACTAAGCCAATCATAGTAGATTAACAGGACTAAGATTAGATTAAGGGACTAAGCCAATCACTGTAGATTAACAGGACTAAGCCAATCATGGACTAAGCCAATCATGTAGATTAACAGGACTAAGCCAATCACTGTAGTAGATTAACAGGACTAAGCCAATCACTGTAGATTAATGGGACTAAGCCAATCACTGTAGATTAACAGGACTAAGCCAATCACTGTAGATTAACAGGACTAAGCCAATCACTGTAGATTAACAGGACTAAGCCAATCACTGTAGATTAACAGGACTAAGCCAATCACTGTAGATTAACAGGACTAAGCCAATCACTGTAGATTAACAGGACTAAGCCAATCACTGTAGATTAACAGGACTAAGCCAATCACTGTAGATTAACAGGACTAAAGCCAATCACTGTAGATTAACAGGGACTAACAGGACTAAGCCAATCACTGTAGATTAACAGGACTAAGCCAATCACTGTAGATTAACAGGACTAAGCCAATCAGTAGATTAACAGGACTAAGCCAATCATTGTAGATTAACAGGACTAAGCCAATCACTGTAGATTAATGGGACTAAGCCAATCACTGTAGATTAACAGGACTAAGCCAATCACTGTAGATTAACAGGACTAAGCCAATCACTGTAGATTAACAGGACTAAGCCAATCACTGTAGATTAACAGGACTAAGCCAATCACTGTAGATTAATGGGACTAAGCCAATCATTGTAGATTAACAGGACTAAGCCAATCACTGTAGATTAACAGGACTAAGCCAATCACTGTAGATTAACAGGACTAAGCCAATCACTGTAGATTAACAGGACTAAGCCAATCACTGTAGATTAACAGGACTAAGCCAATCAGGAGATTAAGCCAATGACTGTAGATTAAGCCAAACAGGACTAAGCCAATCATCTTGTAGATTAACAGGACTAAAGCCAATCACTGTAGATTAACAGGACTAAGCCAATCACTGTAGATTAACAGGACTAAGCCAATCACTGTAGATTAACAGGACTAAGCCAATCATAGTGGTAGAACAGGACTAAGTCAATCATTGTAGATTAACAGGACTAAGCCAATCATTGTAGATTAACAGGACTAAGCCAATCATAGAAGGGTTTAACAGGACTAAGCCAATCATAGAAGGGTTTAACAGGACTAAGCCAATCATTGTAGATTAACAGGACTAAGCCAATCACTGTAGATTAACAGGACAAAGCCAATCATTGTAGATTAACAGGACAAAGCCAATCATTGTAGATTAACAGGACAAAGCCAATCACTGTAGATTAACAGGACTGAGCCAATCACTGTAGATTAATGGGACTAAGCCAATGACTGTAGATTAACAGGACTAAGCCAATCACTGTAGATTAACAGGACTAAGCCAATGACTGTAGATTAACAGGACTAAGCCAATGACTGTAGATTAACAGGACTAAGCCAATCATTGTAGATTAACAGGACTAAGCCAATCACTGTATATTAACAGGACTAAGCCAATCACTGTAGATTAACAGGACAAAGCCAATCATTGTAGATTAACAGGACTAAGCCAATCACTGTAGATTAACAGGACTGAGCCAATCACTGTAGATTAATGGGACTAAGCCAATGACTGTAGATTAACAGGACTAAGCCAATCATAGTAGATTAACAGGACTAAGCCAATCACTGTAGATTACGGGACTAAGCCAATCACTGTAGATTAATGGGACTAAGCCAATGACTGTAGATTAACAGGACTAAGCCAATCATTGTAGATTAACAGGACTAAGCCAATCACTGTAGATTAATGGGACTTCAGATTAATGGGACTAAGCCAATCATTGTAGATTAACAGGACTAAGCCAATCATTGTAGATGAACGGAACTAAGCCAATCATTGTAGATTAACGGGACTAAGCCAATCACTGTAGATTAACGGGACTAAGCCAATCACTGTAGATTAATGGGACTAAGCCAATCATTGTAGATTAATGGGACTAAGCCAATCACTGTAGATTAATGGGACTAAGCCAATCACTGTAGATTAGCTGGACTAAGCCAATCACTGTAGATTATCGGGACTAAGCCAATCATTGTAGATGAACAGGACTAAGCCAATCATTGTAGATTAACAGGACAAAGCCAATCATTGTAGATTAACAGGACTAAGCCAATCATAGTAGATTAACAGGACTAAGGCAATCATTGAAGGGTTTAACAGGACTAAGCCAATCATTGTAGATTAACGGGACTAAGCCAATCATAGTAGATTAACGGGACTAAGCCAATCACTGTAGATTAATGGGACTAAGCCAATCATTGTAGATTAATGGGACTAAGCCAGTCACTGTAGATTAATGGGACTAAGCCAATCACTGTAGATTAACAGGACTAAGCCAATCACTGTAGATTATCAGGACTAAGCCAATCACTGTAGATTAATGGGACTAAGCCAATGACTGTAGATTAACAGGACTAAGCCAATCATAGTAGATTAACAGGACTAAGCCAATCACTGTAGATTAACAGGACTAAGCCAATGACTGTAGATTAACAGGACAAAGCCAATCATTTTAGATTAATGGGACTAAGCCAATCACTGTAGATTAACAGGACTAAGCCAATCATTGTAGATTAACAGGACTAAGCCAATCACTGTAGATTAACTCGAGGACAAGGTCTGTTTGTTGCTTCCATAAACTAAATACTGGCCACATAAGCATTATAAATATTAGATGCTTGATTGGCATTTTAGAAGATGATATTTGATGAACATAGAGATTTTTTCTTGGTTACATCTTCTTTTTATTCTCGAGTACAACGTTTCAGGGCTTGTTCTGGCCCCATCATCAGGTAAAAACATCATCAGGTTTTACCTGATGATGGGGCCAGAACAAGCCCTGAAACGTTGTACTCGAGAATAAAAAGAAGATGTAACCCAGAAAAAATCTCTATGTTCATCATAAATATTGCCATGACAAAAGCAGCTACCATTCACTTTATCACCATGTGGTTTGTAATGCAGTACTCTGTGTAATCAAGATTGGAATTAAAATTTTCAGCAGATTATTCTTCTGTTATGGTAACAACAAAAAGTAAAAGTTGTTAAACTATTCTCAGTGTAATATACACCTGGAAAGATGTTAATCACCCCAGGTAATGTGTGTGTTTAACTGATCACTTGGTGATCGTCTTATCACCGCTTCAGCCATGTACAACTAGGAGCCGCATATGATGTTGTTTGTTGAGCCTGTACACATTTACTGGCGAGGTGTTGTATCCTCCTGGCTGCTTCAACTGTGGTAATGCCTTTGGGCCCTGTATGACATACCTTACTTGTATTGATTGTAATGCCTTTGGGCCCTGTATGACATACCTTACTTGTATTGATTGTAATGCCTTTGGGCCCTGTATGACGTACCTTACTTGTATTGATTGTAATGCCTTTGGGCCCTGTATGACCCACCTTACTTGTATTGATTGTAATGCCTTTGGGCCCTGTATGACGATACCTTACTTGTATTGATTGTAATGCCTTTGGGCCCTGTATGGCGTGCCTTACTTGTATTGATTGTAATGCCTTTGGGCCCTGTATGACGTACCTTACTTGTATTGATTGTAATGCCTTTGGGCCCTGTATGACGTACCTTACTTGTATTGATTGTAATGCCTTTGGGCCCTGTATGACGTACCTTACTTGTATTGATTGTAATGCCTTTGGGCCCTGTATGACGTACCTTACTTGTATTGATTGTAATGCCTTTGGGCCCTGTATGACGTACCTTACTTGTATTGATTGTAATGCCTTTGGGCCCTGTATGACGTACCTTACTTGTATTGATTGTACATGTTGATTGTGTGCTGGTGTATTTCAGAGTGTCATGCACAGTTGACCTGGTAGGGTCATGCTGCACGCTCATCACAGAGGAAGTAACACAAGATGACACAGTCACCCTGGATACGACCATGGCAACGCTTCTCTTAGGTAATTGCCATATGAAGTGTTTAGCACAAGCTAGTTACCACCATTACATCAATGACAAGTTCTGCATGTTTTGAACTTAGTTTAAACATACAGTGATATGACTTTGAACGATTATAACAGACACACGTTTCAGTAGTTTTCTTTGACATAAGGCAACATGTGGTTTTGATGATTACAGGAACTATTCTCACTGATACTATCAACATGAGTGAAGCAGCCGGCAAAACCACTGCCAGGGACAGGACGGCCATAGACACCCTTACACTGCTCCTGCCTCAAGTTGATACTCAGGCTCTGTTTGATGGCATACACCAGGCAAAGACAGATGTCAGTGGTACGTTAACACAGTCTTGTGGTCAACTCCATCAAAGACAGATGTCAGTGGTACATTAACACGGTCTTGTAGTCAACTCCATCAAAGACAGATGTCAGTGATATGTTAACACGGTCTTGTGATGTAGTCAACTCCATCAAAGACAGATGTCAGTGATATGTTAACACGGTCTTTTGATGTAGTCAACTCCATCGAAGACAGATGTCAGTGGTATGTTAACACGGTCTTGTGATGTAGTCAACTCCATCAAAGACAGATGTCAGTGGTACGTTAACACGGTCATGTGATGTAGTCAACTCCATCAAAAACAGATGTCAGTGGTACGTTAACACGGTCTTGTGATGTAGTCAACTCCATCAAAGACAGATGTCAGTGGTATGTTAACACAGTCATGTGATGTAGTCAACTCCATCAAAGACAGATGTCAGTGGTACGTTAACACTTTCTTGTGATGGAGTCAACTCCATCAAAGACAGATGTCAGTGGCACATTAACGGTCTTGTGATGGAGTCAACTCCTTCAAAGACAGATGTCAGTGGCACGTTAACACTGTCTTGTGTTGTAGTCAACTCCATCAAAGACAGATGTCAGTGGCACGTTAATACTGTCTTGTGATGTAGTCAACTCCATCAAAGACAGATGTCAGTGGTACGTTAACATGGTCTTGTGATGGAGTCAACTCCATCAAAGACAGATGTCAGTGGTATGTTAACACGGTCTTGTGATGTAGTCAACTCCATCAAAGGAAGTTTTCAGTAGTACCTTATTGTGATGAGGTTCTTTATGGGCCTGTAGACCTGTAACAAAGTTGTTGTCCCCCGCCGCAACGCGGAACGGGGGACTATGTATTCACCGGCGTCCGTCCGTCCATACGTCCGTACGTCCCAATTCTTGTTAACGCGATATCTCATGAACTGTTGTACCCAATGTCTTCAAATTTGGTTACAGCCTACATTGGGAGATTACCCAGACACCAGTCGATTTGGGTGACCTTGACCTTATTTTCAAGGTCACCACGACACTTTGACCACTTTTCAAACTTATTTAAATGCGATATCTCATAAAACATTGCATCCAGTGTTTTCAAGTATGTTGACAGCCTACATTGGGTGATTATGCAGACACCAGTCATTTCAGGCATCTTGTATGTGACCAAAAAAATAAAAAGTAGTAAATATAGATATTCCATTCTTTAGTGGTGGGGGACATTGCCATATCAGTGGCAAACACTTGTTATGCTTGTTATGTTATCGTGTGGCTGTTTTCCAGGCTGTTGACACTGGTAGAATGTTTTATTCTTGGATAACTTGGAAGATTGATAATGACTTATTGTTTTTGTGAAATTAGTATAAATGTGGTTTAATGATCTTTGGAATTTTGATGTTGATGCATAATACACATGAGAAGACATAATTCAGTTCTACTCTCAATAGTTCTTAATACATTCATATACTGTAAACGTAGTATATTTCGCGCAGGTTTTATTTTCGCGCTTCTCGCGCAAAACATTTTAGCGTGAAAATTTATACCATAACACCATCAAGTTTGAAGACAGAAATCTACGGGAATCTTAAAATGACGACTGATAGTAGCATAAACAATCATACTTAACTGTCGCTGTAATGGATTTCCCAAAACATAATTAAATAATGAGCCAAATCCCATCGCCGAATTAGCGAAAACAGCAATGTGTGTTGTGGCCGCCATGGAAATTGGTCACATGACAGATGGTTTGATACAAAACAGATTACCATGAAACGACTCGGAAAGAAATAATACAGCAGTATTTTATTTATTCATTTAGATACAAACGTATCATCATGAAGCGAATAGTCACTAACACTCAATCATCTCATTCACAACAACCCGGCTTGTTTGAAATCACAAAAAGCTTCATATACAGTATAAGTTAATTCATCAGATTGTCAGAATTCGGAACATAAGACTGATGTGTTTTTCATCTCTTCCGGGAGTAAACGGGTTACTGTGTACTAGTATATCGCACAGATACTTTACAGTCCGTTTGAGTCAGAAACGGACCGATGAATTGCAAATTTGATCATTGTACAAAATTGCCACATAAATATAAATAGTACACATGTTTATCATTTACTAATACCCAACAGCTTTCTTATATTTGAAAATTTTCCAGACTCCACCGAAAAAGTTGTTTAAGAAACTATCATCATTGAAAACGCAAAATTGTTATCTGTCGTGGCGGGATGAAACCGCAGAAATGGAACAGCCAGTCATGGCGGGGGACATCTCAAAATCTATTCCGGGAGACCTGTCGGTTCCTCGTCCGTCGTAGTGTCATAGTCACGACTTAAAGGGATGACAAGTGGTGCCACAGTTGCCTGTTGTAAGCCATCCCGAGACCAGTAACCTTGTTCAATGACGTTAGCTACCTTGTTGACACAGTTTTGCCTAGTTTCAGTCGTGATTTTGTTAAGGGATTCCTGTGTTTGATCTGGCAACATCTCCTTTGATAATACCCCATACCATTTCAATAGGGTTAAGGTCACAGTAATAAGGTGGAAGTCGCAGAATATCATGACCCTTATTTTTTATGTAACTGTCAACTTTGTAGAAAGGTTCACCTTTGTGGGTTTTTACGATCTCATATAGCTGAGGCTTCGTTGCCTTTGAAGGGCGTGCAATCTGAAATTTGTCGAGCCATGATATCATATCACCTTTTCGACTGTTCGATGTTGTGGCTTTACTGTCGGGGTTCTGCACACTGTGGTATGGGGCATTGTCCATTACGATAAAAGACTTCTCTGGTAGAGCTGGTACCAACTTGTTTTTAACCCAATCGAGGAAAACCGCACCATTCATCTCGGAATGGTAGTCTCTGTTATCTGTGGACTTTGCCCTGAATACCAAGTCGCAGCCTGGGAGAACAGCCTTTGCTGGAGCAACCAGCATGGAGAATGATTAGTCTCTCTATTTTCCCTAGAGGCAGCTTTCTACGTGACCCCTTATCACCCCCATCGGGTACCCACTGACTGCTGGCAGTGTGCGAGGCATTGACCCAGGTCTCGTCCAAGTACACTGGCTCAAACAGTTCCTCGCGCTTCTTCTTTATAACCCTGAGAAAATTATTTCTCAAGCGAACAATATCAGGGCGTTCACAGAGTACTGACCTATTCTCTCCCGAAATTTTCTTATAACAATACCCGAAAGAGTGTAAGAGTCGCCAGAGTGTGTACTTTGATACTCTGAGGTTGTGTTCTTGCTTCAAATGCTTTTGTAAGATTTTCAGCGACATGTATTTTTGTTTTCAGAATAGAGCTTGTTGATAGACTGCCTTACAAGGTTCTTTTGAAAGTTGTCCAAATGTTTTAATTTGTGTGATTTTGACACGACCCCTACCTGCTTCGCATCACCCTTCCAGAACATTTGTCAGTACCCTTGCTGATACTCCTAAAGCTTTTGCTGCCCGCTCACGGAATTTATTAATGGCATAAAATGTTTTGCCCCTTTCGGCTTCAGCACGGAAAAAATCGTACACTTTAATCATCAACTGTTTCACGTCAGCATTCAACTTCATTTTTCATCAAGCATGTGTATCCCGTGCACGATGAGATAGTGGCTGTTCTGTTTCTGCGGTTTCACCCCGCCGCGACAGATAACAACTTTTGCGTTTTCAATGATGATAGTTTCTTAAACAACTTTTTTGGTGGAGTCCGGAAAATTTTCAAATATAAGAAAGCTGTTGGGTATTAGTAAATGATAAACATGTGTACTATTTATATTTATGTGGCAATTTTGTACAATGATCAAATTTGCAATTCATCGGTCTGTTTCTGACTCAAACGGACTGTAAATGATCTGTCTTCTAAATATCACCTGCTTGATGTGTCAGCTTACCCAAAACATTCCGGTAACAGATAACATGCATGGCTGCTTGCAGATTGCAAGAGGCGTAGATTTAGCCAAACAAGTGGCTCTGACATACTCTGATATTGTTATTTATTACCCTTAAGATAAATTTGTCGAATTCTGATTCGTCAACAGCCAAAGCATACAAAACCGTGTAGACAGGTTGTACATATGACCTTGACCTTAGATGGAATGTGGCTGCCAAATGGCTGATCAATTCGAAATTTGAGATTTGGCGTACAAATATGAGTATAAACAGAGTAATACAATTTTGCCATCTTTTTTATTTGTTTGTGCCAATTGAATCTTAAATCCGATAATTTTTATGATAAGCTGAGCCATCCCGAGTTATCTACCTTTATGGCCGCTCAGGGAAATGTTTTGCGTCTCATTCAGCCGAAGATTGAATGCTGTTTTCTTTAAGATATGCTAAATAAAGAGAACTTAAGGGTAATAAATTCGGCACACAGTGTTTTGAAAAGGTGACTGCACCTCAGGAAATACAGAGTTTACAAGGGTCTTACAGCCCCGTACACCCTTTCAAAACACTGTGTATCTAATAGTGTCGTGAATGTCTAACTTGTTTTAGTCACTGTAAGGCTGAAATACTGTCATTGTGACTAAAAATCTTAACTCACTCACTCACTGAATCCAGTCAAAATCTGTTCCTACCATGCATTTCATCAGAGTCTCCAGCAGGCATAGATCACTTTCCCTTCATGTACAAAAGCTGGAATTATTTACGCACCATGTTAGCTCAGTTTACACACTTGACTGAGGGGGATGACAGTAATGCATTGAGGATGATAAGCAGTATTAAGCAGTTTACATGGAAAAACAATTCCTCAAATTGTAAGACGCCATGATTGTGTTGCAGGTTTAAGCAGTGAGGACCTGCTGAAAAAGGATGTCAAATTGCTTGTCGGGGCGAGTCTGTCCATTGCCATGTGCTCTGTGATGATGTCTGCTCAGGTGAGATAGAAGGAAAGTGTGGCATCATGTTTACCATAATGGGGCATATAGTGTCACTGTCCAATAAATGAGAAATTCTGGTTGGTACAAAGAGTACTCCTGAACAGAACATGTCACATAAACCTAATGTTAACTGTTCAAACAACGTATGTGTCATCGCATGCACAACTTTTTTTTTAAGTTCACTGTTACAACCATGACACACACATCTTCACTGTAGCAGGTCACTCTTACAACCATGACACACACACCTTCACTGTAGCAGGTCACTGTTACAACCATGACACACACACCTTCACTGTAGCAGGTCACTCTTACAACCATGACACACACACCTTCACTGTAGCAGGTCACTGTTACAACCATGACACACACACCTTCACTGTAGCAGGTCACTGTTACAACCATGACACACACACCTTCACTGTAGCAGGTCACTCTTACAACCATGACACACACACCTTCACTGTAGCAGGTCACTACAACCATTACAACCATGACACACACATCTTCACTGTAGCAGGTCACTCTTAGCAACCATGACACACACACCTTCACTGTAGCAGGTCACTCTTACAACCATGACACACACCTTCACTGTAGCAGGTCACTGTTACAACCATGACACACACACACCTTCACTGTAGCAGGTCACTCTTACAACCATGACACACACACCTTCACTGTAGCAGGTCACTCTTACAACCATGACACACACACCTTCACTGTAGCAGGTCACTGTTACAACCATGACACACACACCTTTACTGTAGCAGGTCACTGTTACAACCATGACACACACACCTTCACTGTAGCAGGTCACTCTTACAACCATGACACACACACCTTCACTGTAGCAGGTCACTCTTACAACCATGACACACACACCTTCACTGTAGCAGGTCACTCTTACAACAATGTACTGTGATGTGAAGCTAGCCCTGTGTAGTGTGATGTGAAGCTAGCCCTGTGTAGTGTTATGTGAAACTAGCCGTGTGTAGTGTTATGTGAAGCTAGTGTGATGTGAAGCTAGTGTTATGTGAAACTAGCCCTGTGTAGTGTGATGTGAAGCTAGCCCTGTGTAGTGATGTGTAGTGTGATGTGAAGCTAGCCCTGTGTAGTGTGATGTGAAGCTAGCCCTGTGTAGTGTTATGTGAAGCTAGCCCTGTGTACTGTTATGTGAAGCTAGCCCTGTGTAGTGTGATGTGAAGCTAGCCCTGTGTAGTGTTATGTGAAGCTAGTGATGTGAAGCTAGCCCTGTGTACTGTTATGTGAAGCTAGCCCTGTGTAGTGTGATGTGAAGCTAGCCCTGTGTACTGTTATGTGAAGCTAGCCCTGTGTAGTGTTATGTGAAGCTAGCCCTGTGTAGTGTGATGTGAAGCTAGCCCTGTGTAGTGTTATGTGAAGCTAGCCCTGTGTAGTGTGATGTGAAGCTAGCCCTGTGTAGTGTGATGTGAAGCTAGCCCTGTGTAGTGTTATGTGAAGCTAGCCCTGTGTACTGTTATGTGAAGCTAGCCCTGTGTACTGTTATGTGAAGCTAGCCCTGTGTAGTGTGATGTGAAGCTAGCCCTGTGTACTGTTATGTGAAGCTAGCCCTGTGTAGTGTTATGTGAAGCTAGCCCTGTGTAGTGTGATGTGAAGCTAGCCCTGTGTAGTGTGTGAAGCTAGCCCTGATGTGAAGCTGTTATGTGAAGCTAGCCCTGTGTACTGTTATGTGAAGCTAGCCCTGTGTACTGTTATGTGAAGCTAGCCCTGTGTACTGTTATGTGAAGCTAGCCCTGTGTACTGTTATGTGAAGCTAGCCCTGTGTACTGTTATGTGAAGCTAGCCCTGTGTAGAATGATGTGATGTGAGTGCTTGTTACCATGGTGTATTGCATTTCAGGATTTTCTGCACAAGGAAGATGTAGTAGCAGCACTTGGATCCTTCACCACAGAGAATGGTGTTGATGCTGTGGTAATGATGCTGCTGTCTACACCTAGGGGAGAACCTCACCGAGAACTGGCAGTGTATTCCCCACAGCGCATCTACAGACAGCAGGTAAGTTTTAATGTAACAGTGAGTGTATTCCCCACAGCGCATCTACAGACAGCAGGTAAGTTTTAATGTAACAGTGAGTGTATTCCCCACAGCTCATCTACAGACAGCAGGTACGTTTTAATTTAACAGTGAGTGTATTCCCCACAGCTCATCTACAGACAGCAGGTACGTTTTAATGTAACAGTGAGTGTATTCCCCACAACGCATCTACAGACAGCAGGTACGTTTTAATGTAACAGTGAAGGGATTCCCCACAGCTCATCTACAGACAGCAGATATGTTTTAATGTAACAGTGAGTGTATTCCCCACAACGCATCTACAGATAGCAGGTACGTTTTAATGTAACAGTGAGTGTATTCCCCACAGCGCATCTACAGACAGCAGGTACTTTTTAATGTAACAGTGAGTGTATTCCCCACAGCGCATCTACAGACAGCAGGTACTTTTTAATGTAACAGTGAGTGTATTCCCCACAGCGCATCTACAGACAGCAGGTACATTTAATGTAACAGTGAGTGTATTCCCCACAGCGCATCTACAGACAGCAGGTACATTTAATGTAACAGTGAAGGGATTCCCCACAGCTCATCTACAGACAGCAGGTACTTTTTAATGTAACAGTGAGTGTATTCCCCACAGCTCATCTACAGACAGCAGGTACTTTTTAATGTAACAGTGAGTGTATTCCCCACAAGCATCTACAGACAGCAGGTACATTTAATGTAACAGTGAGTGTATTCCCCACAGCGCATCTACAGACAGCAGGTACGTTTTAATGTAACAGTGAGTGTAATCCCCACAGCGCATCTACAGACAGCAGGTACATTTAATGTAACAGTGAGTGTATTCCCCACAGCTCATCTACAGACAGCAGGTACTTTTTAATGTAACAGTGAGTGTATTCCCCACAACGCATCTACAGACAGCAGGTACATTTAATGTAACAGTGAGTGTATTCCCCACAGCGCATCTAGAGACAGCAGGTACGTTTTAATGTAACAGTGAGTGTAATCCCCACAGCGCATCTACAGACAGCAGGTACTTTTTAATGTAACAGTGAGTGTATTCCCCACAGCTCATCTACAGACAGCAGGTACTTTTTAATGTAACAGTGAGTGTAATCCCCACAACGCATCTACAGACAGCAGGTACCTTCTAAACTAACACTGAGTGTATTAACCACAACACATCTACAGACTAAGATTTACTATGAGTATTTTGTCTTGTGTTGTTATTTCAGGTCATCGTATATCATATCACATTATAGTCTTTTAGAGGGTTTCTCATACATTCCACATTGTTCATATACTGAACTACTTTAGAAACACATCACCAATAATTTGTTATACGAATCGCGGAGACTGTGGGGTAACTAAGCAGTATTGCTAGCAACTGGTATCAAATTTGTAACAAACAGCAAGATCAAGTTCATGCATGATCATTAAGTAAAAGTGCAGGTTGCTTTCGAAAGGACTTAGGGGGTAAATGAAAATTGACAAGTTGATTGTAAACAACGTCAACAAGGGGTATGCCCAGCATTGGCATTATAATGACTGCATCACTTCGCCTCATCAGATCTTGTGGTTTCTGTTGCCATACATGTTGTAATGATGTTTCGAGTTCATAGACTTTGAATGGCTCAGGGGTCCCATTGCAGTTTTCCTTCTAATTTCATCACATATGTGTTCAGTGGGTGCTAATTCTGGGGAAAGTGGAGGAAATGGCTCAGTGATATTCCTGTGTTGACATGGAGGGAAAGTCATACTGGGAATGAGGTGAGTCCATAATACTTCCTCTGAGTAGGGAACAGCTGTGACATGTCCTCTGAAAATATGTACAGGTGTTCTCAATAGCACTCTGATTCTTCCCCAAACCATTAGCCAGCCTCACACAACAGTTGGCATAACGTTCACCATGACGTCTCCTCACATGAACTCAGACAGCAACACCGTTACTGATATTGAAACAGGACTTATCTGTGAAGAAGACACCTTGCTGCAGTCTCCGCTTCCAGCATCGATGTCTCCAGTTGACACTGTCGGTGTCTATGTGTCAGAATAGGGCTGTTGTAGGGACGCCAAGCGTTGAGTCAATGTTGCCGGACTGTATGGGTGCAGGCAGAAATCGGTTTCAGAGGTGTAGACATTCCAGCATTAAGACAACCCAATGCTCTCCCTCTCTCACTGCTGAAATGATAGGCGTGGCATCGCAGTAGCGTCACTTGATGTTGGATCAGTTGGTTGAATGGTGAATTACTGTGAGTTAGCAAATGGTCTCCTTTTTATACCTTTGTGATCAGGGTAAACAGAATGAAACAAGTCACAAAGCACTGGATTGTTGCGTTATCCACCTTATATGTTCCTGAAATTCATTTTTCTGGTCATGAGTCACTTCAAGGAAAATATTTCAGTTTTCTGCTGTAGTTCAGTATATTATGCCTTTCAAATGAACAACATTTTAAGTAAGAAAACACTAACAGATGTGCAAGATCATATTCCGCGAAACCAAAAGGCTAATCTAAATATTTGATATGTTGGACCAAGAGCAACTGCACACAGCATGTGACATCAGTAGAAATGTAACAATGACCTATGTTTGCAATAAAATCAGTTACTTACTTATTGTCAGTGATAAAAACAGCAGTTTTATGTGAATTCTGTTCCATCTCCTCTTTCAAGTTGACAGCCGTAAGGGTTTGAATACAATGAGCCTGCACACTGTCACGATTATCACTACAATTGAGTTTGATTATATTGATGGGAACTTTATCATATTTCCTACTGATGCTTACAATATTCTTCATTTATGTTAAATTAACGCAATAAAATCAAAACCCTTAGATCTCCCATAATTACAAAATGATAATATATATTCGGTTAGACTCTCCAAAGTAGACATTTGGCAATTAGCATATGACACCTATTTATTACATAAAAATCTCAACCAATGGCGTCATAGATATTGTGTGAACCATTCTACAAAAAGAATACGCTCATGAATACGCTCGGCGGGATATTGTGGCATAATTAATGATTTTTTTAATTTTTAGTGAATATATTTTAACACCCATCATCACTAAACTGATCAATGTTATACTTAAGACTGGATGCTTTCCTATTGAGTGGACAAAAGCTGTAATCGTTCCTATACATAAGAAGGGTAATGAAAACAATCCTGACAATTATAGGGGAATAAGCTTATTGGTATGTATGAACAAGCTGTTTACCAGTATTTTAAACTTGAGGGTAGCCCAGTGGTGTGACAAATATTCTATTCTTATTGAGGAACAAGATGGATTTAGAGAGCATTATAGTACTGTAGATTGTATTTTTGTATTGCATGGACTGATAAACCTCTCAATTAATAAGGGGGCTGAACTGTATTGTGCCTTTGTTGATTATCGTAAGGCGTTCGACTATGTTAACAGACAAGCTTTTTGGTCTAAACTGTATGGTCTTGGTATAAGTTCAAACCTTTTACGACTTCTTCGTAACATGTATAGTAATGTTAAATCCTGTGTCAGATTAGCTAAAAATAGTATTTCAGATTCTTTTTCTTCATCACTTGGGGTTAGGCAGGGCGAAAATTTGTCACCAATACTGTTTTCACTCTTTATCAATGATACAGTTGACTACATGAGTGCTGCTCAAGATTTTGGACTTATAGTATTACACCTTTGTATACTTTTGTTGTTATTTGCTGATGATATGGTGCTCATTAGTGAAACTATAAAAGGATTACAAAGTGGATTAGACATTCTTCATTCTTACTGCAAACAGTGGGGCTTGGTAGTTAATGTTGATAAAACCAAAGTGGTTGTTTATAGAAAAGGTGGGAGAATTGCCCAAGGAGAAAAATGGTTCTACAATGGGAAAACAATTAATTGCTTGTAATACATTTAAATATCTAGGAGTTGTTTTTTCATCGTTAGGCAGTTTTGCAGAAACACAGAGAACATTATAATAATAATAATAATGTATTTATAAAGCGCCTAATATCCACCATAGAGATGCTCAGTGGCGCTGTGACAATATTGTTGAAGGGAATAGTTCATATGACTTTTACAGAAAGGCAGCAGTGAATAGATGGGTCTTTAATAGAGATTTAAAAGTTTCTTTCGATGAAGTGTTCCTGATTTCCTTTGGAAGACACTTCCACAGTTTAGGGCTGGCACAGGAGAAGGCTCGGTCAGACAGTTGGTTTGGAGATCTGTGTTGGGTTAGGAGAGAGCCAGAGGAGGATCGGAAACAATCGCTGAGGTACATACACAGAGATGAGATGTTTGAGATAGTCCGGAAAGTTATCATTGTAGAGGCAGTCATGAGTCAGAATGAGGATTTTGAAGGTAATTCTTGCAGAGATGGGGAGCCAGTGTAGAGACTGTAGTACTGGGGTGATGTGGTCATGACAATGAGTGTGGGTGATACATCTGGCAGCAGAATTTTGGATTCTTTGAAGTTTCTGGAGTGATTTATTTGAGAGGTTGGCATATAGTGAATTACAGTAGTCGAGTTTGGAAGTGACAAGACAGTGCATCAGAAGTTTACAAGTGTCAGTATCAAGGTAGTGGTGGACTTTGCTGATGTTATGGATTTTGTAGTAGCAGGCTCTACTTATGGAGGTGATGTGTGCATCCATGGACATGTTGGAATTAAGGATGATTCCGGGCACTTTCTGATGGTAGGATGTCTGTGTCACCAATACGAAGTGAAGGTAATGACAAAGCAGTCTTCAACTTTATAAGCTGATGTTTGGAGCCGATGAGAAGGGACTCAGTCTTCTCCTCATTCAACTTCAAGTAGTTGGAGGTCATCCACGATTTGATTTCATTAATGCATAGCTCAAGTTTGTTGATATACAGTGAAACATCGTCTGATTCAAAGGCAATGTAGAGTTGCGTATCATCCGCATATATGTGGAAACCAATGAAATGCCGTCTGATAATGTCACCAATGGGGAGGATGTAGACTGTAAACAGAAGGGGGGCCAAGAACTGATC